AAGAGTCCCACCTCCAATTAGTGCATCTGTCTTACCACACTGTCCTTCTGTGTTGTTGCCAAATTTGCTGAATGGGAGTTTCACGGAGAAAATCAGGCCACTAAAGGTGATGCTTGCACCAATCTCTGGTATTTCAACAATCATGTTGATGCCAAGTGTGGAGAAGGAAATGCCATCTCTTTTGAAGCCTGGTTTGACAATCTTATTGTTGAAGTACATCTGAATGCAGGGTTAAAAAAAAACACAACTTCAGAATAAGCACTGCTTCTCCCTGATTGTTTTAAATAATGTCTTTTCTAATCTTCATAATTATGCATAAATACATATTGTTGTGCGTCACATCCAATGCCTATTGGTATCACGATAACAGCATATATATGCATTAATATCTCAGCCTGTATTGCTATTTTGCCACAGTGTGATAAGAATCTAAGTGGCCTCTATGTACCGTATTTATGCAGATTGCGTGCTGATGCACAGGATTCTAAATTCAAGTATTTTTTTTGTATCTCTCATCATTTTTTTTTTAATTGGAAACATTTTTCATATGAAAATGAGTGGTAATAAAAGTACAGAAATATTCCTGCCATTATTATGTAATGACCTTGCTGCAAAATCGCACTGTCCCTATGCTGCATGTTGCTTGGCATTGGAAGAGTTGTCTGAATTCAAAATGAAGTCAAATGTCCCCACTGCCAGTTTTATGTAGCAGTTGTATTCATTTGTTAGTCTAAGCTGTTCCATTTGCAGCCTGTATCTTATATGAGCTAGTGAAGGTGGACATATTTGCTTAATGACTTTTTGTCAGGAATTATTCTGCAAATTCTTCTCAGTGAATTGGGATAAAGTAAGAGTTATAACTGTCAGTTAAGGTTTTCTTTCACAGGGAATCACTGGACTAATTTTTTCAGCGTGCCTTTCTGACTGTAGGTAAGGAGCTTGGCATGGCTCTGTCGGGGGAGAGTGCATACTGAGACCAACTGTTCCTCCCACCTCTTTGTGTTCTCTAATCAACTAATAAATTCCCCCATGTAACAGTGGGGCTGACTTTTTGTTTTCACTGGCTTGCCAGCACTAGTTTAGGATCGTGAAGGTGAAGCGACACCCCCAGTCACCCCTTTTTCTTCAGCTATACCTGTCTTCTAGCAGGGAATTGGAGGGGGAATGAAGTGCCTGAAGTTTCCTATGCAGAGGAAGCAGTCCCCAGTCATCCAGCTGATAAGGGATACATACCCCTCCTCACCATGAGAGAGGAATCATGCTTGTGATTTGTACTTGTGTTTCTTCATGATGTGTTTGTTTATATAAGTGAATGGCACAACGTACTCGTTTTCATGAAATATGAATCAAGCAACAGTGTAAGCATTCTTTCTGTCTTCTCTACCAGCTGTATTAGTCTGCATCCTGGTGTTATTTATATATACACATACATGCACATAATATGTTCATATCTGCATAGTGCTAAGTTGTTTCTGATACTTGGTTCTTAGAAACTGGTATAATCTATTTTTTTTCCCTAATGGTGCCCTCTGCCCTCATCACCTCCATGATATGATATTCTATCAGACTGTATTTCAAATGAGAATCAGTAAGGCCTATGGACCTGATTTCTTTTTTTTGCAAAAATAGAGAAATAAAAAAATGTATATTTTACCACGTTGGTCATCACACCATTCATGAGTTTACGGGTCAGCACGACTTTTGCAGATTTGTAGAAAATAATAATGGATTTAGGGCAGGAAAGTCCATCTTCTGAATCGCAGTAATAATTGTCAATGTAAACACGGAAGTTGTCATATTTAGGTACAATCTGTTTCATCAGGACATAAGTGCAGTTTTCAAGGAAAGTATAGTAGGTTCCATCAAAAGTAATATAATGAGGATCACCCCATCCACTGCACACACCTGGTAGAGAGAATATATTTAGAAGATTAATGTGAAAATTAATGTTGAAGAAAAAATTTAGAAACTGAAGTAAATATACTACAATTTGTAGAGCAACCTTAAGAAAATAAAATACCCATTATAATCTGTGCAAAGTTCCGCTTTTTTCAAAAAAGATTATTCCTTAATCCACTGGTACTTACACTGACACTCATAATGGTAACAGCAGCCATTTTCATCAGGTACCAGTATTGCTGGATATTTGTTTGCACAGGTAATTTCCTTTACAGGTGGGCAGTGCGTTGGAATTACTTCTACCTTGTTGTCTCCCTTACAGATGAGTTCTGTACAGTTGGATAATTTGTATCTTTGTCCAGGCTGCAAAATGAAGAAAAATTGCTGTCATGGGACTCTGCAAACAGATAGGAACGTTACCATATTTTTAGTCTATTGGTATATTGTTTCCAGTAATGGTGGTGTTGGAAAGGAAATTAACATGTGTTACTTCTCTTCAATTTCTGGTACTAATGATTTGTAATGTTGACCAGAGGTATTAATAATACTGACCATGACACAAAGGACCAGAAACTGTTTTGTTTTCCAAATATGAAGCAAAGACTAAAATTAAAATCTTCACTGATAAGGCAAGATTGTCAATATTCTACACAATTTTTTTTTTTTTAATGCTAAAAGGAGTTAGGAACCTTAATTACAGCTATTTCTTCAACATGAGGAGCTCTTCTGAGGTTTGGGGGGACAGGTCTTAGGTTAAGGGAACAGATTTCCTTTATACTAGCTATGGATACTGTACTTCACTATCAGCACAGACCATCATTATCAAAAAAAGAAGTATACAGAAGTACTGGTAAAAGAGAGCAGGAGAAAAGAAACAAATACAAGCCTCCACAGTAGTAGAAACAAAATGCATGTGCGAACTTACTATTTCAGTAAGAAGATTTCTTAGTTACACAATGCAGTGCATCAGAAAGTGTATTAACAGCACTAACATAATTGGAAAAGATTATTGAAGCTTGCTTTCTAAGCATGAAAAAAAATTATAAAGAAGGTGCATACAAATTTTATGTCATGTATATTGCCCATCACTAGAAACACTTACTCTGGCAATCCACGCATATAAGGTTTAAAGACTGCAAACTCTTCCTTTCTGGTGTCAACCTAACAATCATAACATAAGACAGAAACTACATACCTGTAGGGGAGGGTAAGTAGCAGAAACACAACCGTAAATAGGAAGATTTGTGGAAGTGGTAGGCAAAGGAACTGATGTAGATGTGGTAGACGATTCAGGAGAAATAGTAGTAGGAGGAGTAGTAATGTTACAATGTCCAGTGTGTCGTTCAACTGTACATGTTGGACTACAGACGGCATAAAATCTACATCCATCACTATCTAGTCTGTTGTAAATCAAATCACCTGAATAGAAAAAAAAAAAGATAAAAAGAAACAAACAAAAAATCAAAAATTCAAAAAGGCATTACAAAATTTCCAAGTAAAACTTCTGAATAAAATAAAATCAAAATTTGGAATATGTGATGAAAAAAAACAAAAATAATTAGATGTGACATATATAAAAGGATAAAAACAGGAATACAAACCAGGTGAAAAAATAGAGTCCCCAATTTTACAGAAACACGGTGTAGATAAAGGTGGGGGAGTACTGGTGGTAAGGCTAGTAGTGAGCAAAGGTGTGGATGTTGGGCAGTTGGGGTTAGGGCTGCAGCAGAGGACGCGGATCCTGTAGTTGAGGCACATCTTAAAATTGCCCGTCTGGTCTTTGTTCTTGCACACCAGTCCAAAGTGGACATCGCACTGCACGACCTGTCCCACGTGTTGGATGGGAACATCGGGATAGTCCTCGGCCTGACACTCGATTTCCTTTGGATATTGACAGACTTCCTTGCCGGCAGCACGGATGTGCTGGTAGGTTTCAAAGTCTCCCTGGCTGGGCCCCGAGGAGGGGAAGTCGACGTCGAACCATTCGCTCCAGGAGCACACTTCGCTTACACAGCTGCTAGTGGCCATTGTGGTGGTGGTGGTGACGCTGGGGAAGATGGTGGGAGTTGTTGGCGTGGTGCTGGTGGACCTGGTGGAGGTTTGCGACGAGGTTTCTGAGGAGGTGGGCAGTGTGGTGGAGGAGTAGGGTGTCGAGGTGGAGGTCGTGACGGAGGTGGAGGTTGGGGTTCTGCGAGTGGTGCTTGTGGTGGGGCTGCTGGTGGGCAAGGACGTGGAGGGTGGGCAGTTGGGGTTAGGGCTGCAGCAGAGGACGCGGATCCTGTAGTTGAGGCACATCTTAAAATTGCCTGTCTGGTCTTTGTTCTTGCACACCAGTCCAAAGTGGACGTCGCACTGCACGACCTGTCCCACGTGTTGGATGGGAACGTCGGGGTAGTCCTCGGCCTGACACTCGATTTCCTTTGGATGTTGGCA